AGCAAAATTGTTGCAACAGCAGCGGTAATAATATAGCGATAAAGTAATTTACTGTTTGGTCACGTACACATTCGATACAGACAGCCCGGCCTGCTGTTTGTTTTTCGGCTGTTTCCAAGCAATGACATTTTAAACTAACCCACTTAGTTTTATGTTCTAGTATGTGTGTGTTTATGTCTGTGCGTGTGTGCGTGCGTGTGTGTATGCTTATATATGTGTGCGTGTGTGTCCCGTGTACATAAAAACATTTGCGTATAAGCACATGTAAGTATAGCTATATGAATATTCTCATGTTAACTGAATGTATCTACCAGAATGCCAACACATCTGTTGAAAGTACATGAGCTGACATCAAACCAACAACAACATACCCAGCAGTACGTTTTACAATTATCGGCATGATATTAAACTCGACAAATGCGAAAACAACGCACGCACGCGTTAATCATTGCAGAACACTTTTTATGCGTGCGTATGTTAATTTGGGATCTTTTTGCACTCGAACCATGTCACGCTGCCACCAGACGTACTACTTGCTCACAGCTCCAAATAAGCTAGTCAGTTCGCCTACCAAAATCCATACCAATGTATGTGTGTACGTGAGTTTGCATATATGTGTATGTATGTATGTATGTATGTATGTACATGTGCTGTATGTGAGTGTGCGTGCATGTGGCTGTGGGTATATAAGTGTGTATGTGTATATATGTGTAGGCAATTAATGTCGTAAGTTTATCACATAGACATGTGCTGCATTTATGTTTTAGGGGTCTGCTTCTACTCCTCGTAACCTCAGCGCATAAATTTTAAAAAATTTTGAAAACTTTTTATTCAACTTTACTTCGGTTCATAATTTTTTCTCTTGCCTTTGCTTGGTAATTTTTTTTAACGATAAATTTGCGTTTTTATTCAACAAGAAATTCTCTTCTTTGTTTATTCAATTATTTATTTCTATTATGGTTAACATAAAAATAAACAATTTAATTAATAAAAAAATAATTATTTATTATAATATTTAAATAAAATTTGATCATTAAAATGAAATCTATATCCTTTAGCATTTCCAAATGAAACACAAACACAAATCGTCAACATATTTGAAAGGACACAACACACTCACACTTACATAACCGTACACACACGCACTTATACACACAACACACACACACACAACACACACACACACAAACACACACAACAACAACTACTACTAATTATATTTTTAATAATAAAATTACAATATTAATTAATCAATCTAAAATACTATAAAAGATAACACGGCTAATCAATTTAATTTCTTTACAGAGTTTTTCCATGTTACCCACAATCATATTGGCAGAACTATGAAGTTACGTAATTCAATCGACTTGCTAAAAATAATTTCAAGAAAGTCTCAACAAAACATTGAGTGGATGGAACAGTGTTGGTTGGGTATTTGAATGGAAAAAAATACGAGTGACAATAAAAACAGCATTAAAAGCGAGACAACACTTTTTTCAATAACAACATTAGCAACAATAAAACAACGACAATAACATTAACCTCAATATTAACATAAACAATCTCAAATCCAACAACACAAGCAACAACATTAACAACAACAACGTTAACATTAACAACGCATCACCGCCACCAACCACAGCAACATGCAGAAAGTCAACAGTACAACCACTTCATTTTTATTCGTGTTTGAATCTTTTAAAGCAAGTCAGCTGCAGTGTTATTGACAGCAATCTCCTTGATTACCTCATTGTCAGATCGTAGAGGAGGAGGAACAGATTATGACAAGTATTTCTGTGTGTGTCTGTAAATGTTTGTTTGTATGGGCGTATGTTTGTGTGAATGTATGTGTGTTTATGCGTGTGTTTGTGTGTAGGTCTATATATACGCACATTAATTTCACTAGACCATCAAAAATGCGTTGACCCTAATATATTTAACAATTATTTATAAAGTTAACTCAAATACGGACAAGAAAAATTAAAAAAATATTTTATACAGACACAAATCATATGCACAAGCGAAAAATATGTTATAAAACGTACAAACAAAAATCTTGAAGAGAACAATGCAGTTTGAGCTGAGCGGATAAAACTGCAAGCGAGCCAAACAGAGCCGAATCAGTATGGAGCTCCAAGCCGAATCAAATAGGCTCCGTCAGCTCGACTCGGCTTCATTCGGTTCGGGCATGAACTTAACAACACAAGCTCATATAGAAATTTAAAAACAAGCACCTATACAAACACAAATACAGAAAAGTACAAATGAAATGTCATGAGAACAAAAATTTGAAGAAGCAAAGATAGCAATACAATAATACAAAGCCGCAGATAATCTCAGTGAATCCCGTAATGACGGTGACGAGGGAGATGACGATGATAGTGATGATTATGATGATGGTGGGGTGATGATGATAAGAACATTTGAAAGGATGCATGCCGAAAAGTTCAAAAGCTGATTAATTTAATATTTAACGTAAGTTCTGCTGCAAGATGGTCGTTCGTGAGTGGTTGACGTAATGTAATGTTGATGTAATGTTGATGTTGATGTGATGTCTGTCTTAAATGAATTTTTTTCTCGCTCTTTTTTCTCTTTTTTCTCTCTCTCTCTCTCTCTCATCCTCTCCCTTGTTTTGGTGTGATTTCGGTGTGGTGTAATGTGATGTTAATGTTATGGTTATGTGATGCTGATGTCTGCTCATATGTGCGTGTATGCTGCATCTGTCTGTGCATAGTTTTCAGCTTGATGAATTAAACGAGTAGAAATTAAAAACTAAACCAATGAATTAAAAAAAACGCGTTAAAAGTCAGAAAAGAAATTGCGAATTTTAGACACACACACACACGCACAAACACGCACAAATTCAAATACACATACTCACACAAATTCACAAATCTACAAAAATGAAACAAAGGTATTTAAAATTTGCTGGTGTGCCTATTAGATCCTTTGACGCAATAAAACTATAAATAATAATTTGAAACAATTGCGTAATTATTGGGCCAACATTCAAAGAGTAGGTGAATTGGAGTTTCAAGCCGCGATAATTCATGCCAACTGATATTTATGGCGTTTACATGCGTAGGCGCGCGCGTGGGAGTTATTTATAAGTACAAAGTACTACTGCTGCTGCTGCTACTAGTATCAGCTTGTTGTGCCGGCCATATCAGGCCAAGATCTTTAATGAAGGATGAATGCGTGTGTCATTGTTGTTGTTGTTGGTGTGTGTTTTGTTGTTGTTCACCTCGTGTTTATGTTGTAGGTGTCAGTGTTATCATTTATTGTTATTATTAAAAAGATTTTTGAAATTTTTTACAATAATTTTTATTAAAAATTTTAATGGATACTAAATTAGAATCGTGCAGCATAGCTAAACTGTTCTTATATAAGTTTAACGCGTCTTACATCATAAAAGCCACCACTATTCGCATTTGTATCGCGATGAAAAATATTTCTAGATTTTTCGGCTTAACGTTAATTTATATCAAAAAATCGACCCAACCTATCATGACAGCAGGTATATTTCAAAGAGAAGATGCTATAATTTATTTTCTGTCACATCTGGCTAGCGAAGTGATGAACGTCTGAATTTGAGAATCTAAAAAATTAAAAAGGATGTATTTTATTGCTTGTTTTGGCGTTGGAGTTATTGTTAGCGCTGTCGTTTATGTTGTTCTTACTGATGTTGTGTCGTTAAGAATGCTATCTTTGGTGAGCTTTGATGCTGCTATTAGGCTTTGTGATATTTCTGTTGCTTTTGTCTTCTTTCTTGCTACTTTTTATGGATGTTCATAAAAATGATATTACGATTGTTTTTCAGATAGACTTTTTTCCACATTTGAAAGAAATTATTAATTGAAAACAATCAGCTTGAAAGAGAATCATATCACATATGTTAAATTATATTAGAAGGCCTCTTTTAACGATTTTCAAATTCAATAAAAATCAAATGGAGAGTAGCAATAACAGAGCAAGAAAATAAGAACAAGCAAACTGGAATGTAGGCGCATTCAAAAACAAATTTCGCGTCGTTTTGTTGGTGTTTAAAATGGATTTTAAAAGATTGCAAAGTTGAGAGATTTCGAGACTCTACAGATGTCAGAGCGTTCGTTGAGTTGGCTGCAGTGAGAAAAATGGAGGACATTTGTCCTGTTTATTTGTGGAGCTTCGTTGCTGGCCAATGAATTATTCCGGGAGAAATAATTTCAAGAAGGTCAGTCACTCCTCTCTCTCTCTCTCTCTCTCTCTCTCTCTCTTCCTCTCTCTCACTTCATTCTCTTGAAACTACATCGGCCATTTTGTCATCGTCTCTTTCATAAATGTTACCGTCAATCATATAGTGACCTCACCTCCATAGTTGTCATCATCATCATCATCATCATCTTATTCATCGTCATCAACATCCTATAATACATTAACATCATCGTCGTCACCATCTTTTCCATCTTCATCATCGTCATCATCATCCTTAACGATCTTCATCATCATCGTCGTCATCAACTCGTAAGTTTTACTTTCTATGCAGGCACCTGCTCACATTTTACATGCAGAATTTTTTTATCTATTGTTGACATCTGGTTGTCATGGTGCTTGGAAGCAGCTGTTGTCATAACCATCCATTGGTATCTCTTGTGCAAGTTGTTCATTCATTCATTCACTCATTCATTCATTCGTTATTTCATTCATTTATTCTTTCACTTGCTCATTCATCCACTCATTCATTCATTCATTTATCCATTGTTGTGGTGCTACTGTGTTGTTGGACATTTTTCATTGCTGCCAAGATCTGAAGTATGAAAAGAAAAATTGATCGTAATGCAAATTGTTAACTAACTCAACTACTTCTACATCTGCTGTTACAATTGACTCCCAAAATTTAGTTGATGTTCACATTCAGTCAATAATTAAATAAAACTATCAAATTATTTTACAAGCAATTTCCATAAATTAATAAATAAAATAATATTTAGAAATAAACATTGAAAATTATTTGAGCAGTAATGTCAGCGAAGTTGTTGCATCATAAACTTTCCTTCAGTGGATTCGGGCAAGAAGCTTCCAAGAACGTTCCTGTAGGTGAAAATGATGCTATGATGAGATGATAATTATACGACCGAGATGGTGACGTGATGATGAAGACGTGATGATGAAGATGTGAGGATGAAAACGTGATGATGAAGACCTAATGATGAAGACGTGATGATGAAAACGTGATGGTGAAACGATGATAATGACATAAGGATGTACAAACTTGTGACAATTATTGCAATGATGAATGTTTTAATTGTGACAATTGCAAAATAATGACAGCCATGATTTGCATTTCGTAATAAAGTGATGGTCAAAACGATGACGATAATAATAATAATAACGTCATTATTTTTTGAAAGTGCCAGCAATAATGGCGATGACAGAATGATGACGTTTGATTGAAATGACGATGACAAAATTTTGCACGTGTTTGGTTTCTAACGCTAGCAATTCAATAAGATCAAAGTATAATATTAATACATTTCAATTCCAGTACTTCATCGTACCGGTGAACAAAAATGAAAAGAAGCCGGCCAACCACAACACTAATATTGTTCATAACAACAGCAACAGCAGCAACAACAAAAATAATACATCGGACGTCAGTGAAGCCATCAAATTGGCGGCAAGAAGCGTATGGAAGCACATGTACGACGCTCGTAACGGTAAGTTGCCCAAACTCATCATATCAGTCACAGGCGGGGCTAAAAGATTCGAAATGAGCAAAAAACATTTGGAATCATTTAAAACGGGTCTCATGAAGGCTGCCACAACATCTGGTTAGTTTCATTTACTGTGCGTGTGTGCTGTTGCATATGTAATTGGACGCTGTACTTCTTTAATGTATTTTTAATGTATTCGGAGTGGCACGATTTTTTAAAAGCTGTTTTTTGATATTAGAAATTGCAAATTTCCCCGTGACAGAGGCCTGGATCATAACTGGAGGAACGAAGAACGGGGTGATGGAGTTTGTTGGGGATGCAGTGAGGGAGTACATGTTGGAGAACGGGTCATACGAGCAGAACCTCGTCGTCATCGGGGTGGCCACACTTGGAGCTGTCGTCCACTGTGAAGAACTTATCAAGGAGGTTTGTATGGAGGGGGTGGTAAGCAACTTGATATCAAAAAATTGATTGGGATGTCAAAGTTATTATGTCGGAAGTCTTAAGGCGCTCAGCCTAAACTATGAGTTGATGAAAACTTCTTTGTACAAAAATTATGTTCACTTTGATACGAGGACAACAATTATATTGTTCTTGTGTAAAAATGCCCTGAATGTAAATACTTTTTGTTTGTTTTTTTAAATTTCAGTGCAAACCGCCCTTCAACACTGACAACCACCTCCCATACAAATACACCTATCCTGAACAAGCCCTAGTGAAACAAGCCCTGTTAGACCCGCACCATACACACTTCATTCTCGTGGATGATGGGTCAAGAGGTTCATTTGGTCGCGAGATTGAGTTCAGGGCTGCTTTTGAACAACACGACTTTTCATACGGTTCCTGTGATACTTCTCAGTTTACGACCTTTTGAAATCATGTTACAATTCCCAGTTAAAATTGATTGCCTATAATTTTTTACTTGATTTAATTCGACTAAATTTTAAATGTTTATTTATAAAATTTTGGCATTTTAAATCTTAGTAAATTTGAATCTCCAAACCTACCAGTTGAGGAAATGACTCTACTCCAAATGACGCTGCCAACCGCCATCACCTCCACTACAACCGAAGCAGCAACCGTAACTGATTCCACGGACACGGAGATGGAGAGCATTTCCATGCTGCCCGTGGTTCTCATGGTGCTGGAAGGCGGCATCAACACGTTGGAGACTGCGGTGGAGGCCATCAAGAAGAACACCCCCATCATCGTCCTCCAGGGCTCTGGTAGGGCTTCTGACTTTCTCGTCAAGTGCATGGACTACATCGCGTTCGTATGAAACTTTTAAAGTTCAAGAGGGTAGATAATTGTATATATCATTATTTTTCATGTATTATTATCAATGTGTTTGTTTACTCGATTTGTGTTTTTAGGTTGAAAGATATGAAAAAAATGACAGATGAAATGATTAAAGAAGCAGTGATTTATTTTCCTGATCAACCAAATGTTCCTGAAAAAGCAGCTAACTATGCGAAAATTCTCTTGGACCCTTCCAAAAAACATCTGGTAAAACCAGAAAAATAGGATTGAAAATTAATATTTTTTTCAAATAAAATAGAAATTATTAATTTAAAAACGAGAAAATCATTAATAAGGATAAATTTGTTTGTAACTTCTTTCAGTTCACGATATTCTATCAAAAGGATGACACGTCCGGCGATGACCTGGCAGAGGTCATCTTGTATGCCCTCCTCCGAAGTCAGCATTCAAATGACCGTTCAACATTATTCATTATTCTACAATGTTTTATTAGTATTAAAAAATTATATTTTGTTTTGCGTAAATTATTAACGCATTTTATTTTTGAAAGTCTAACAAGCGAATATAGACAAATTTGCACAAGATGTTAGGCAGTGTTTGATCACAGCGCACTAATTAACCGAAATAACCCAATAATAATAATAATAATAAAATAAATGGTATTTATTGTAATAATATTAAAATACAATTTTATATTATTATGTTAATGATTTTTCCAACAACAAGCTTCTATAAGCACGTCTGAAAACGCGAATCTCACCCCCGAGTCCACGAACAGATTTCTCGATCTTGCTCTCTCGTTCAACAGGTTCACCAAATAAAAAAATATCATCATAGGAACACATCTTCTGCTAATTTATATGTATCAATAATAGATTAATTTCACTCATCCAGACCTACGCAGTTTATTTATCGCTAGATCATATTTGGTTACTTGCGACTAATCAAGTGATGCGACTAACGCGGCTGTAGTCATATCTAGCCTATTTGATGTGTGTATGATAACGTAATTTTTTAAGATTGATATTTCGTTTAGGTGTGACATTGCTCGAAAAGAAATTTTGAAATACGAAAAAAAAACTGTAAGTTGAGATGTACTGAAGGTTTTTCAAATTAATTTTATAAATTTTAAAACTTAACATAATGTTGCTTATGCTCAACAAAAGAGTTTGCATTATGTCATACATGCAGGGTTTGTTACAGCCAAGCCAGTTGAATGGAAATTTTATGAGCGCTTTGAAGCAGAACAAACCTGAATTTATTCAAATGTATTTGGAACTTGGAGTTGAGGTTGGATCCTTTTTCACTTACAGAATGCTTCTTGATCTCTACAAATATGTGGTAGGTGACAGTTTCCATTCTATAAAATATTTGTATAATGATATTTATGAACCCAACTAAATGCTAAACCAACGTTGGTAATAATCTCTTGCACAACGTTAAAACAGTTCGAAATATCGAAAGATAGCACACCTACTGCTGGCGTTTTCAAGTCGCTCGTCCAAGATCTCGATGTACGTTTCAGAATTTCTCTGTTCGTGTTTGAATGTCTGTGTATACGTCATAAGTCGTTTAATTCCTACGAAAAAATTTGTGTTGTCTGTTTCCTTCTAATAAAAAAATTACGTACTACATTGTCACAGACTGAGAAACATTTGGACCTGCCATCAATAGGGAGGGCCATCAACTGGCTGACTGACAATCAGTTCCAAGATCTTTATAAAGGCCAGTTTCAATAATTTCCTTACACGTTTACACAAATTTCAAGTCGAAAGTGATACAGATTTTTGTTCAGGATTTTGCCATAAATTAATAAGCAGTGTTAATTGTAAATAGAAAAACTTGAAAAAATGAAGTACAAAACCAAATACGAACACCCGACGACTCAAATACAATCGCAGACGTAATTTTTTTTATAAAAACTTATTTAAATTTGAAAATATAATATTGTTAAACTTTTCCACTCCACTGTGAAAAACAGTCATTGCTCACCCCGATTCTCTCTTAGAAAAGCCGTACAGAGAAATTTTCTTTTGGTGCACACTTTTCGGTCACCACGACATGGCACGTATCTTCTGGAGGTCAGGGTTGAACTATATAGGTCAGTAGGTCAATAGGGGTCGCAACTGTCAATATGTAAAACTACCAAATTTTATTATTTTTCTCTAGGTGGCGCCTTGACGGCCAGTCGGATCATGTCATCCCTTTCTGAACTTGCTTTTGGCCATGAAGAGTTCGAGCTTTCACGGGAACTGAAATCTGAAGCAGAGTTGGTTCCTTTTACATTTATATACATCTACCCTTTTACCAGCTATATTTTATAAATCTTAGCAAGTACGAAGAAGATGCCAAAGGTATTTTAGACGAATGTTACACATTCGACTGCGAAATTTCAAAGAACCTTTTGGTGCGTAGTTTGGGTACCTGGGGCGACAAAACTCTGTTTGATCTGGCCAACGACGGTACCATGATGAACTTTGCGGAACATGATTGTTGCCAAGCTAAACTGAACAGCATTTGGTGTGGAAAGTTGAGGAGTTACACTTCATCGTGGACTGTGAGTGCCTTTATGCTTTTTTTAGTTTTATTTTTTTTATTTAAGCCAGATTTTTTTTTATAGCTGATCAAGTTTTTTGCTCTAATAAAATTAATTAATAAAAATTAATATTGAATATGTCAATACTTGAACATTATTTCAAATGACCATCTCCATTGCACGCACATTTCAATCTTCACAATTAGATCTTCCTCGGTCTCTTCTTTCCCTTCATAATGGTCAACTTCATTCAGTTCCGTGGCAGTGATGCCAACAACCAAGTGACTCCGTCTCCAGATGATTTAGAAGAAAACGACCTCAAACGGTCATCTTCACTCTCATCCTCCGAATCATCACTTTCCTCATTAACGACCTCACTTAAGCGGGCACTGTTTGGACGCAGCGAAACATATTGTGGTTGCTGTATTGGTGTCGAAGGAGGCAAAAGCAGAGGCTGTTGTGGCTATTCAGGTGGTAATTGTTGTTGTTTGAGGTATTTCGAAAAGTTGTACCAGTTCTTCACGGCACCCATCGTCAAGTTCGGCTACTTCACCGTTAGCACCAGTTAAAATTATTTGAAAATTTCATATTTTTGTCTTTCATCATCATCATCATCATGGTCATCACCTAACTCGATGCCGTTATGACCATCGCCTCCAGATAGCCTACTTAATCTTTCTGGCGATATTCAGTTACTTCGTCCTGTTGGAACTGCACGGCGGGAGCATAACTGTCATTGAGGTGCTTACCTGGATCTGGATGTTCGCCATGGCTGCCGATGAAATTCGACAGGTTCTATATTTTATCATTCTTTTCTAAACAATTTGCATATTTTATTATTCTTTTTTAAATACTTTGCATTTTTCCGTTTTGCATTCCGTGTGTTCAACAACTGTTTCTCTTCTAAAAAAGCGCTCTTACCAATTTTACGACTGCTTGTTTTCAAATAAATTGTTGTAGTTTGGATCGGCTTTCAAGTTATTTGTACGTGAAATGATTTAAATATGAAACTCATGTTAGTATTGCACAAAATGATTCATTCCGTTGACCTGTCAGATGTTCACGCAAGACGCACCGACAATCCTGCTGAAGTTTTACAAGTACTACTACTATGACAGATGGAACTTGTACGAGCAGCTGATCATCGTCATGATGATAGTTGCTGTCATCCTTCGCTTCACGCTCTATTCATCGGACACGTACTCAGCACGAGTCATGTACGCACTGACTCTCCTCTTGTCCATTTTGAAACTCTTGAAGCAGTTCTACGTGCACCAGTACATCGGCCCCAAAGTCATCATGATTCAGAAAGTGGTCAGTCATCTTGCTGCTGATTGCATTTTACCTTTACTTAGACATCACATTTTACTACAATTCTGTACAAATTTCCAAGATTTTCAAAAAAATTTGGTCATAAAATGTGAATTGACATTTAAAGTTACAAAAATTTCATTTCAACAAAAACTGTTTCAATGGACATTCAAAAACTCTGTGAAAATAGGATAAACCAGCCGTCAGCAATCGTTTCAATACAATAACATTATTTAACATGCGTTAAGAATAAATTTAGTCAAAAGAATGATGAAGCATAAAAACAAAATCTGCCACCAGATATTCGACTTGATGTTTTTCATCTTCATCTTCGGAGTCTTCCTGATGGGATATGGGATCACCGTGCAGGCTCTCCTCTATCCCGATCCGCCCCATTCCTGGAACGTCCTCTCAAACATCTTCTACCAGCCTTACTTCACTCTCTTTGGACAATTCAATCTCATGGAGCTGATGGGTTAGCAGTTTCACTAGAATAGGTTATTTATTAATAACCGTCTTTTCACTTTAATGATATTTTTCAAATAAAATTTACATTAATTTTTGAAAAAAGTGAGAAATTTAAATAATTAAATTACACGTTACTAGAAAAAAAAATGTTAAAAAAGCATTCGATTAAATATAAAACCAAAATGAATTCAGGTCAAGTACAGAGCTGCACAACAAATCACACACTGTACCTCTCCGATCCGCTCAGCAATCCTCTCTGCTCCCAAAAATCCTGGGTGGCGATCACCCTGTTTGCCATGTACGCCATCACTGTTTGTATCATGCTGGTCAATCTCTTGGTCGCTATCTTCAGGTCAGTTGGTAGTTCCGTGCGTGGGGGTTGGGTCGGTGTCTACTGCTTTCTCTCCATGTAAATTGTTGTGGTTTGTTTTCTTAAATTTTTGTAATGATTGTGTCATCCTTAATGGTAAAGGCTGATATATAAACGCCATTCACAAAGCTCTATACTCGGCAAAATGAACAAAGCATCATTAAAATTTTCATCATTGTGATTGCTATCATTGTTATTCTTTTTTGTAATTCAATCATCCTCAACAGTACCGATAATTTGTTTTTCTTATCAGCGAAAAAATTTATCTCTTCCTTTTAGCTTCACATTCAATAGCATTCAAGAATCCGCCGTCAAAACTTGGCAGTTCTACCGCATAGGAACTATCTCTGAATTTTTCAAGAAGCCTGCCCTTTTCCCGCCTCTCATTCTTATTGGTCACGTGATACTCCTCGTTGACGTCATCATCAATTACTGCTGCAGTAGGAAGGATGAGTATGGGAGGAGGATCAAGTCGCCAGTCAGGAATGATTTCAGTGAGTTTGTTGATGTCGTTGTTTTTGTTGTTGTTGTTGCAGTTAACCTACTTTCCGGTTGTCGTTAATTTTTTCGTCAACGTCATCTTCATCACCACCACCATCGTCACCACCATCGTCAACATTATCGCCACCGTCATCGCCAGGGATGGAACTGGATGAGAAGGAGAGCAAGCGGTTGGGAGCATTCGAGAAGAAGGGGATGCTGAGTTACTTCATCAAGCAGAAGGATGCCATGAGGCAGGACACCAATCACAAAATTGACGTCATTAACAGCAGGCAAGAAGTACTTTTTTTTTCTTCTTCTTCTTCTTCTTATTATTATTATTTAATATTATTTATTATTATTATTATTATTATTATTATCACCATCATAATTTTTATTATTATTATCATCATCATTATTATTATTATTTTTATTTTTTTCCAAGGGTGGACAAGATGTCCATTGACCTGGAGAGTATCCGCGGTGCAATCAACCGGGCAAAGAAGTCCAAAGTGTTTGACGTTGGCTTCGATGACGCCGGTGACGTCACAAGGTTTGAATTTATTATGATAATTTATGTTAATTATTATCAATGATAATATTTTAATACTCTTGAGAAAAAGATTCCGTACATATTAAGTATAATTAATTTATATTAATAATTAATTTATGTTAATAGTTCTATATATATATATATATATATATATATATATATATATATATATATATATATATATATTTAACCTTACATTAAATATAATGATGAAAATAATTAATATTCATAATTTTATGCGTATGTAATTGTGTAATATTAGTAAAGTGATGTAAAAGCAGTACTCTTCATAAACGTTTTAGGAAAAATAAATAAAATATTTGGTCAAATAATTTGGCAATTTAGTGGACAAAATTGAAGTTAATTAAAAGAATATTACATGTCACGGCTAATAACAGCAGAAGAATGCACAACAACGTCAACGTCGCCAGCAACAACGCATCTAGCAGACAGGTGGACGAGCAAATGAAGGAGCTCGAAGAAAGAATGAAGGGACAATTCAAAAACTTCGAAAACAGCATCAACAGAATTGAACAGTATTTGAAAAACATAAACAACAATTACAGCAACAATAACAACAACAATAACAACAACAACAACAACAACAACAATAACAACAACAACAATAACAACAACAACAATAACAACAACAACAATAATAGCAGTAGTAATTCAAGAATCAGTAACAGCACTAGTAACTCCAGAGCAAATAACAACAGCGGGAAGTTTAGTGACACAAGCAGTAACGCAAGTTCAAGGAAAGTCGGTAAATAAATAAACAGAAAAATAGACAGCTCTGTCAAGCCGACGAGAAAACCATTATTATTATTATTTATGTTATTATTTATATTATTTATATCATTATTAGTTAATTATTAATATTATAATAATATTTCAAAACGTAATGTGTAACAACTATGACGCATTTTTAAGCACACTTTTGTATATAATTACAATATATTGTTATTATTATTATTATTATTATTATTATATATAAATATTTTCTGGTATTACGTATAGGTATGATAAAAAAATATAGAATATAAGTGGGCAGTGAGATGGTATAACGGTTAAGGCGCATGGCTCTGCTGTCGTGGTGACGGGTTTCGAATACAAAAAGGTCCTCACCTATCAGACGCAATGTTGGATGCACTGATTCAAGCGTGTTAATATTCGTGTGTTTTGGATATCCGTGAGAATAAATTGAGATAACTGTGATAAGAGTGTAAATTATAATGGTTGCAGCATATCACCACAGTATTTGTTGTTCGATGGGTGCACCTTCATTTCAATTGCTGATCATTTTCATCAAACTTTTATGCAAGATGTTGACTCGCCTATGCTAGGGGTGGACAAACATTTTGCTGTGAGGCCCGCATTGAAAATATTTTACCTTTGAAGGGCCGCATATGTATTCAAATAGCAAATACTTTCGACCCATGGGAGTTTAAGATTTGTGGTCTGCGGGCCGTACGTAGTTTGCCCACCCCTGGCCTATGCCGTCGCTAATGACATTTATGACATGACATCAATTTTAGATGTAATTCTGTCAAATAATATCTGTAATTTAATATTTTTAATAATTATTTTTACAATAACAATCTCAAAATAGATAATACGTAACTAATTTGTAAAAATTTATAGAAGGTATAAACTTTGCTGTTAGCAATTTTTGTGACAATTTACTCAATTAGCCATTAATCACCGTTAAATAGGAAAAATAATTAAATTTACTCGCACTGTGCATTTTTGTTCGAAGTAATATTTTAATTTAAAAAAATGGCGATTTAATATAAGCAAGCACCCTGGCACTCTGATCTCAGGATTTTAAAATAATTTCAATGTTAAGATTTCATTGCATGATGTGATATATATATATATATATACATTGCATACGATGGCGGATCCGAAATTTTAAAATTCTATCCGTATTCTTGAAATTCTATACGGCATCTTGAATTTCTATCCGAAATCTTGAAATTCTACACGGAACCTTGAAATTCTATCCAGAATTTTGAGAAGGGAATGGGATGTTTTCAAAATTCTAATGGGATAATCTTTATTCTTGCTTATTCCAATTTCGAAATGAAGGATTATTTTCAAAATGTCAAATTAACAACCTTTTTCCGGAAGTCTTACACAAAGTCCTCATGCTTCCTTTTTCATGATCTTATGGGACTTGAATCTCACTGGATTTTCCCTTTTTCTAGGATCCGCCACCGTGCACATCTCAATTTATATTTTTTTTCATAATTTTGAATTATTTTACTTAAGATTTGTTCTCTGTCTGCGTTATCTTTTTATCAACTCATGTATCTTGCCATTGTGCATTTATAAACAGTTTTCATTTTATATTTTGCAGTGTGTATTTTCATTTTACTTTCGCGCGCGTGTGTGTGCGTGTGTGGCAATATTCATTCATCTATAGTTTTCGTCTGTCAATCATGATCTATATATAGAAAAGTGCGTGATCTGTCTAAACTATATACATATATACCCCTTTGAAAATTTCAATTTTTTTTAATTTTGAATGAATAAAAACAAAATCACTTTTAAACAGATATTTTTTGATTGAGAGTACAACAGTCTTTTGATGAAGATTGAAGAATGGTTTCTAATAAATGTGTTCGTGCAACTGAGGACAATAATCAATTAATTATTAGATTAATTAATTATTAAATTAACTAATTACTAAATTACTCAATTATTAGATTATTTAACAACTAAATTAATAAATTAGATAATTACTCAATTATTAAATCAAATAATATTCATAATAAAAACCAAACAAAAAACAAAATACACACACACACACACACACATATATATATATATATATATATATATATATATATATATATATTTATATTTACAAAAAAATGAATACAGTAGACGAAAGAGGTGCGACTAAACAACTCGAGAATTATTTACATTGTAGGCATTAAATGACATCATTGAAATGAAGAATGATGATAATAATAATATTAATATTAATAATAATAACAATAATAATAACAATAATAATAAGGATGATGATGTGAACCGCTGATGACACCACTTACATCATGAGCATGGTGGGGGATGGTAGTTAATTATCATAACATCGTCATAGCAAAACCGTCATCACCATTATTAGTGGTGATTATACGAATATAACTATATATAATATATCTATGACTGTATAGCGAACGTGAGTCCAATAACAATGCGATGGGTGCCATCGTAATCTTCAGAATCAACATCAGTGACGTCATCATCGTCGTCACCGATGATGTCATAATCTTCGACACGATGATGCTGTTACCCGCATGAGGCTGGCAGACGACTGATGTCCATCTCAAACCTGTTGTTGTTGTTGATGTTGTTGTTGTTGCTGATTAGTTGTTGTTGTTGTTGATGATGTTGTTATTGTTGATGTTGCTGTTTATGATATTGTTTTTGATGTTGTTGTTGTTGATGTTGATGATGTTAATGTTGATGTAGATGATGTGGTTGTTGTTATTATTATTGTTGGTGTCCAGAACAACACAAGCACAACATAACACACGCGCACGCACACACACCAAACACACACACACACACACCAAACACACGCACACACACAAACCACACACACGCACACACACACACACCAAACACACACACACACGCACAACAACGTCAAACCTTAACATAGCAGGCAGGCACGACGTATCCAACTTCTTCTCTATGATGACCAACATGCTAAGAGTCTTCAGTGATGGCTCTGCTGATGCAGGTCAGTAAATAAGTGCCGATAGTAAAGTTAGTAATTTGATTACTATGCGATTACTCCAATGATTAACATTATAATTAACCATGAAGAAACATACTAGATCGTCACCGTCAT